TGGTGGCGAGATCTCCCGTAAAACTTAGCGCCGGATCCCCTTGATATTGCCGTTATCAAACGTTATAAGTGCTCGGTAGTATTTCGGGTTACCAAGGGTCGCGAAGGCTGTTGGGGAACTGAGCTAAACTGCGAAAAGTGGCCGATCAGAACTGCTTCTCCCGTTCTGGCAGCTAAAGGCGTAGCAGCATGACGGGGCTGCCGAAGGTCGACCAAAATACCAGTCAACTACGGCGTTGCTACCCGACCTAAGCGGAATGGGTAGACAACACGATATCATTGTACGACGTCAGATAAAGTTCCACAGGAACGGAGCTCACTGGAACATCTTTTCACTCTGAGGGAAAGTGCAGAAGCTAATCGATGATTTCGCAAGGTACTGACTGCATGGACATGGGTGGACTTTCGACAGCGAAGCTCCAGGGCTCGTGGTCAACCTCGAAGGCAGTTCTTAAGAGGACTTTGCTGACATATCAGATAAACCTGTTGGGTCTCAGTTTTAGAACAGACATTATTTACAATTTCAACTCGGTCATGAAAGAACCATTCGCGCCTTTATTAATCGTTTCGTAATATGTCGTTTCTCGGAGCAACTATGAAGGATTTTATGTCGTATGAAAGATCCATTTGCCCGTTGCTTGTTGTTTGCAATATGATGTTGCTTTAAAGTCGTTATGCGACTGAAAACAGCAGTTAAAGTTTCGCTAAAACAAGCTGCGACTTCTGCCTGCATGTCTCAGCGTTACACATCTAAAACTGTGCCCTCTTTTTACTGAATTTCATATCAGCTTAGCATGGACGGACTGTTCAATGAGCAGTTTGATAGCGCCGGTATCACTTAGCAGAAAACTGTAATGTAAACCTTTGATGATTGTATTTTATTGTAAAACTATAATCCCTGCTGTTGAAATACTGAGTTGACTAATATCTCGCTTAGCCGAATGTATTTATATAACTTCAGCAGTGGTTGTTATACCGCAGAACCATAATTAGACATGACAGAATCCTAGTGATAGCTCATAGCATTCTTTTACATTTTGCTAATAAACTTTCGCATCTGGTAGTTTCCAAGGTTCACTTGAATTTTGCATTTTGCGCCACTGTTTATGTAGTTATATTGTTTTTTGCTGATTAGCTTCAGGGTGTATGCCTACAATTGATTGACTACTGTTAACTTTCTAGCCGTTGCACACATCATCTTCATCTTCATCTTCCATCGCCGCTACTCCTTTCGGGTCGCCGAGGCAGACGCGTCAGACAGTGCTT